ACGCACAGGCAGCAGCCAGGGTCCTGAATTGGATTGAGTAGTCAGTTACAGAGCATCCATTTTGACTAAGCTGGGCCAAAGAAGAAGCAGCCTCATCGCCCTGAGCTGATCGATTGAACAGTCATCTCCTCTCGAAACTCGTCAAAAGTGGCACAAAATGGAGCCCGGGCGTCCCACACCGCCGTGGCCCAGTCGCGGGCCCTGCCCTTCAGAAGAGTTATCACAAAGGCCACTCTTGACTCCTCCGTGGCAGGAGTGCAATCACCAGTGAACACTGGGAAAAAAGGACCGACAGCAGCTGGGGTCCCCGTCGTAGGAAGGTGGATTGCTGGCATGTGGCTCATGCTCTGGGTGGAGAAAAGCGACTGCCTGTCTGCCGACTCCAACATTCAGCTGGAGCTCCGCGACACACACTTACACACAAACACACACAAACTGACACTTAAATAAAAACACACATATAAACACATACACATGCAAACACACACATGCACTCACAGTCTATAGACACATAAACACACTCACTCAAACAGACACAAATCTACAACAAACACAACGCTCACAAACACACACATACACACTACAAACAAACCAACAAAGGCACTACAGAAAAACACACACTCGCTCTCTCAGGGAAACACACTCTCTCCCACCTACAATGAGATGCACTTTAATCACACAAATGACACACACACACACACACACACATTCACAGTCTGCCATGGACTGATGAACACACTTCTCTTCCTTCTGCTGATGCACACACTGTATTAATGAGATGAGTAATACTGGCTTTAATATACCTTTAATAAAATCAACAACACTTGGTTCCAAACCCCCCCGGTTTTGGCAGCTGAGCTGAACCAGACGGTGATAGAAGTGCAATAATATTAACAGTACTGTGAAAAATAACATAAATCATAACATAATTATTGATAACAAAGTGAATATCAGTAAATCAAATGATGAGAAAGTCAGACATTTTAGATTTTTTTTAATTAAATTCAAGTTTTACAAATAAACCTGAACTGAATCAATTGTGCTGCTTTTCACAATAATTATCATCTAAAATCAGCTTTTACAAAAAATAAATAATTAACTCTGCATTTTGTGCATGTTTACGGGGAGAAAGAGCTCTGCAATACTTTTTTATTTTAAGCTAATTATGAAGTATTTAGTGCACAGAATAAGAGAAGATTTGCTGAAAATCAAGTTTGGATACAGGAGCAGGTGCCGTCAGCGTTTATTGTGTGTAATCGTGTGTGTTTAGATGTCCAGCAGGGTTTGAAACCAAGTTATATATATATATAGTTGAAGTCAGAATTATTAGCTGCTCTATAATCTGCTCTCCGTTAAACAGAAATTGGGGAAAAAATAAATAAACAGGGCAAATAATTCTAAATCAACTGTATGTATGTATGTATGTATGTATATATGTGTGTGTGTGTGTGTGTATATATATATATATATATATATATATATATATATATATATATATATATATATATATATATATATATATATATTAGTGCTGTCAATCGATTAAAAAAAATTAACTAATTAATCGCACCTTTTTAAAAAAAATTATCGCGATTAATCGCATTTAAAATACTGAAAATTGTAATTTTGCCTATTTAAATGTGAAATTAATGTAAACACAAGACAAAAAGTATTTAAATTCAAAATGTAATTGTTTAATAGAATTTTTTACTTGTAACACAGATTTCTTCATGTAAACAACATACCCACAATAAACCATCAAGATCCTGCTTGACAGCCATATTTATTACAGAAATTAAAACACAGGCATGTTAATGACATTTAAATTTCAAAACAATCAATGCCAATAAAGAAAACATTGATTTCCATGTTGGATTCTAAGTGGACTGCAAAAAATGCCAAAATACAGGAATTGCAGATATGGAAAATGAAAAATTATAATAATAAACTCTAGAATACAAACTGTTGCACTCATTGTAAAGTTTTATTGCTGTGAGTTGAGAACATTAATTATAGAGAAAAAACAGTTTTGCTTAATCCTCCTTTACATTCATCCAGTTGCTAAAATTAGGAGTATCCCACAAGTGCACAGAGACTCCCAAATGCCTGCAAATGAATGATAATTTCTTGCAAACCGGTCGTTAAATACATTGCACACCCCTCTTACCCCTACTCAGATACGATGCTCACTCCACCCCTGACACAGACACACACACAGACAGACACACACACACACACACACACACACACACACACACACACACACAACGCGCTGCAGACGTTTTG